CGTTTTGTCACATTGTCTTGTGTTTGAGCTACAGTATTGTGGGAAGAAGAATTTGTTAACCTGTGTTTTTGTTTTCTTTTGGAGAATGAAGTGACAGAAAAAGGCGGACAATTGTTTTCGAAAGCATCCGCTCAGTTACTAATAATGTCCTCACAAATCGTGTTACCATTCAACGTAGAACGATTTTATACAGCAATTGTATTGTTGGTGTGCACATACGCTAAGAAATAGTGACCGTAAGCAGTTTACCACCATATTTAGCACGTATAATTCTTTGATTTAAAAACCTAAACTCATTGCCATTAAGTTGATTTCCACTCATAGCGACCCTATAGGACAGTTAGAACTGTCCTTGGGCTTACAAACCTCATCTGTTACCCTCGGAGCTGCTGGTGGTTTTGAACTACTGATCTTGCAATTAGCAGTCCATTGTATAATCCACTACTACGTCCCAGGATTCTGTCTTGGAAGAAGTACAGCCAGAATGCTCCTTTTTAAAAACAAGGATGGCAAGACTTTGTCTCACATACTTTGGACATGCTACCGGGAGAGACCAGGAAAAGGACACCACGTTTGGTGAAGGAAAAGAGGAAGCCCCTCAACGAGAGGGACAACACCGAGAGGGACAACACCGTGGCTGCAAAAGTGGGCATGCTCACAGGAACAATTGTGAGGGTGGCACAGGACCCGGCAGTGTTTTGTCCTGTTGTACGTGGGAGCTGCTCTTAGTCAGAACAGACTCGGTGCACCGAACACCACCACCACCATCCTTTGATGGCAAACTGGATGGTAAATCTGGACTCTGTACTGCCCCATGCGTTCTCATGTTCTGGGATGGGAGGTCTAGAGGGAGGTGAGGCAGGAGGGGGTGGGGTTGATTTACGGCTCTCGGTGACATGACCCCTAGTAAGGCCATCATTCCCACCCCGTAGGGTCTATGTCCTTCTGTCTGAGATCCCTGCAGGTTGGAGAACACCCTTTTGGTGGTCTGACTGTTGGTGACCCCCAGTTACCTTGTGCCTTTGAGTAACCTGTGCCCACAGGCTTCTCAGGTCCTGGTTGGGTGACTGGGAACCAGCAAGTTTCTGCGGGTGTCCTGCCAGCAGTCCTGCAGGAGAGCTTGGACCTCTGCATAAAGGCCATTATCCACACACCACCTTCTAAGCCCACCACTAAACCAGTGACCGGAGGTCCATTGTGTGTCCCAGTCAAACTGCCTGGAGAGCTTTCAGGAGGGTGACCCCTGGGAAGCAGACAGCAGGCCTTTCTGCAGAGGCATTCCCAAATGGATCAAGCTGCCAACCTTCAGGTTAGCAGCCAAACACCTAGTTTTGGCAACCCCCACCCTCCATCCGGGACGCAGCCTTCTGCTGAGCCCCACTCAAGTAGCCATCATCTAAACTGAACCCCGTTCTTCCTTGGAGACACAATTTCAGGACCACAGCCCAGCAGCCCCGGCTCTTCCTGCCTGCATGGTCTGCAGGCTCCACCTGCCTTCAGGGGGCTCACCAGCCAGTGGGGGAGGGCACAGACTGCAGTGCTGGCTGGTCCGAGGTGGGGCGCATAGGAGCCAAGGGTAGGGCAGGCAGCCTGGAGCGAGGAAACTAAAACCCAAACCAGTTACGCCTCCCTTGCTGCCACTCCATAGATTCTGACCCCTGGTGTGCATGCAGGGCCACTGCCGCAAGGTTAGTGGTGAGAATTATCTAGAGGTCTCTTGGAAGAGAGGCCTGATGATCAGCGCTGAACCACCTGGAAAGCCTACGGAGCAGTTTCACACTGTGACTGGGGTGGCAGGAGCTGGGCCCGGGTGTAAGGAGCGCCTCTAGGCGCTCAGCTGTCACATGGCAGTTGCCGGAGGGCAGCAAAGGCCCCGCCCACCTCACCCTGTCACCTGGCACCTACTGACTGCCATCTCAGTGATTCTGACTCATAGGGTGCCTTTAGGGCAGTGTAGGTTTCCATAACTGTAACTTGACTGAAGGAGAAAGCCTCATCTTTTGCCCACAGAGGGGCTGGTGGGTTTGGACTGCTGACCTTGCAGCCCATCGCTTCACCACTGTGCCAAATGTCCATGGAATGAACTGAGCCACCCCTTCCTTTTCCCTGGGCCCTGTCAGTGAGCAGGTGGCTACCCCAGGGGCTGCCGGGCTGCCAGCAAAGGCCTGGACTCTGAGCTCGACCTGGGCGCATCCTCTCCTAGGACCCCTGTCCTCTTCCGCAGCAAGAAGGAACTCCTCGACTGCAAAGCTTGACCGGAGGCCTTGAAAGAGAAAGCAGGCATACCTAGAGTTCTTGTACTTTGCCTCCAAAGAGACTGCTTTTTGTTTTTGTTCGTTTGTGTGTTAAACAAACGGAAGGTTCCTGGCAGCCCCGCATCACGCTCACGTTGGGCTAGTTTGGTTATCCACACGCTTTTTCATAATTCCAGTGCACACCTCACGGGTTAATGTAGACATCGCCTTTGTGCTGGAAAGGCAAAACAGAAGGCGTGTGCCCCCCTTGGAGTTGCCAAGGTCTGGGATGAACTGGCAGCATCCCCAGGCTCGGCCTCTATGGACACAGTGTGGCCCTGAGCTGTTTCACAAATAGACCGAGGCCACGCAGAGGGAGCCACCTGCCCAGGGCTTAGCAGGGGCTCAGACTTGGTTCTCCAGAACCCGTCTCCACGGTCTTTTGGCTGGGATCCCAGGTGGTGGCCTGCCTGTGGGTCCCAGCGCTGTCAAAAGGCAGTGCTGCCCAGTAGCTTTAGGAAGTTCCCACTGAGGCAATGTTCCAGGTGGAATGTGGCTGTCCCTCCTCTCTGTCTGCTTGTCTGTCTACCTTCTGGTGTGAATCAGATGTTTTTGAGAGAGGAACGGAAAGGGTCTGATTCTGAAGGGCTCCATTCCAGAGGCCTGGGTCTGGCCGCAGGCTGCCCCCTGCAGGCTGGCCATTACAGCCCAGTGGAGCCTGTGTGGAGCTGGGAAGAAAGATGGCCCTGTGCTCTCCTGAGGGCCCGAAGCTACCATTTTTCTTAGAATCCAGCTTCAAAGAATCACACCCAGGCAGAGAGACAAGGCAGGGACATCTCTCACTCTCTCAATGAGCTATGATTTCCTTTCATCTCCTGCTTTGATCTCAGAAGTTCCTGATCTGGGCTAGGTGTCCCCATTCCATGGACAAACAAAGTGAGGGAGGGGAGGTAGGACCAGAGGAGGTAGGACCCTAGCCTGTTACTCTCTGGCTACAAGGGAGCATTGTCAGGCTTTGAACCAAGTAAGCCATACTCA